GCTGGGCGCTGATGCAAGAGGCGAGCGCGGCGGTCGCGGGCAACGGTTGAGTGGAGAGGGACCCCGCGCTTCAGCCGCCGCTCCGCCCGCCTGCCCGCAGCCATGTCGGGGGACGAGGTGAGGCCCAGCGCCGCCGCCGCTGCCGTCGAGAAGGAGTCGGTGCCGAGCCCGCGCCGCCGCCATGCGGCAGAGCCGGACCTGAGGCCTGCGCCGGGCGCGGCCTAAGCGCGGCCTCGCCGGGCAGGCCATGGCGCCGGCCCTGCCGGCCCTCGAGGCGGCTCCCGCCGCTCGGTGTCAGGGGCAGCGACGCCCCTGGCGCGGCGCGGAGGCTGCGCCTGCTGCCGTCTCGGCGGGGGCCGCGGGAGCAGGAAGCCTGGAGGCTGCCGGAGCCCCGGGCGCTGCCCGGCCGCGGGGGCGGGGAGGGCAGCAGGGGAGCCCCCCCGCTCCCGGCCTGCTTCGGCCTCTAACGATATTTAGCGTCCAGGCTGTTCTCTTGCTTCTCTCTCTTTGGGGACTTACCTTGTCTCTTCTTGGATTCTTTGCGCTAAATAGCAGCGTTGTTGCTTACGAGACCCTCATGCTTTCCAGGTCCCAATGGTTTGAGCCCAAGGCAGTTCCAGGAAAATGGATGCGTCCATCTCTGAGTTTGCAGCACTCGAAAATGTTATATCTTGGTGCTTTTGCTAACTGTGTTTCAGCTGCTTTTATGAGGAGCAGGAATGTACTGCATATATGAGGAGTCCTTGGCAGAAGACTGTAGCCTGTGGGAAGCTGCACTGGCTGAAGGCCATGAGATGGCTGCTTTTGGTCTTGTATCTTCTTTCTAGTGTTGCTTTAAATACCTACATGATTCTTAGCTTTTCCTTCTGACCAAAGCCTGATTGTTCTAGCCTTGAAACACCAAATATGTTTTTGTTCTATGTGATAAATGAGAAAGTGTGATTGCTAATTTTTTCAAGTGTAGCTGAGACTCAACTTTTCAAGTGCTTAAACTCCTAGCTGGAACACAGTACATTTGAATGCCACTGGGTCCATGCAGACCTGCAGCTCTGACACCTGGAGCATACTCTGCTTTGAGAAATCAGGGACCTGCAATACTTGCATCAAATGATCAGACCATAGAGCATTTAATCTGGAATTTACCTCTTAGGAATCTCTTATGTGCTGTTAAAGCAAGGTTTTTTTCTTAGGTATTATCAAAGTTACCTTTGCCTTGCTTTATCAGGCAGACTGACAGAGAACAGAAATGGTAGCAGTTAAGATTTTTGAAGTGTCCCTATTAAATCTTTCGGAGATATGGGTGCGTGAGACTCGGTGCATATGTTTCCATGTTGGAACCAGATAGTCTCTTATTGATGCTAAAATGCTGTAATGGACTAGCATAGACTAATCTTAAAGATCTTGTGCTGTACACAAGGCAGAGTAGTGTAAGGATAGCTGGACTAACTTTATCAATGCAGAGCTGTGTACCTAGTAGACATGCCCATGTCTATCCAGGCCAGTGAATTATGATTAATTTGTGACCTCTGCTGTGCCCGGCCTATGCCACTATCCCAGCAGTTTAAAGTAGCAGTGTCTTATGTCTTAGCAGTTGTGCTTGGACTATGAAGTGTCCAAGTTGGCGTTTGTAGAAGCTTGGCTTGACCTGGCTGGGTGGATATGGCATCTGCTACGGAGTTGAGTAGGCCATGGGGCTACGAGGCCAGTGGTTCCAGTGGCTTTAGAGTTGGTAATTAAAGCTAGCCCTAGAGTTCACAAGTCCTCTTTTAGTGTTAACTTTCATTTAGTGTATTACTGCAGAAAGCTGTTGTAAACGCAAGTTGTTTATGGCAGTTCAGGCTGAAGGGTGTCTTCTTTCTTGAAGAAAGAAGAGTGATTTAGGGGAGGCGGCAGTTCTTTCTTGGAAGTTATTACACCTGATCTAAATGTCATCTTATGTTTAAACACGCAAGAAGATGCAAGAGGTAGCTCTTTGGAGGTTTGCGAAGCTTCCTCGTTGAAATGAGTCATAACTTTGGAACTGGTATTCTCAGGCTCGCTTCCAAAGCGGTGCGCTGTTGCCTATGCAGCAGCTTTCAGTCTTTCATCAAGCAAAGAGGAAACCAGAAGACAGTATAACCGGTTGTATGCAGTCTTTGATTGTTGTGTATAACAAGAATGTGATTCATACAAGAGTCTAAGCACTAGAGGGGAGCCAGCTGACAGAACTTCTTGAAAATCCTCTTAGCCCAGTGTGTGTAACTCAAGACATGCTTCAGCAGTTTGAAAACCTTGGGTTTCAGTACTGCACGTTGGAAACATTTTTTACCATGCTGTGCTTCAAACACGCATATATGCAATTTACTGCCTTTCAGTGGCTTAGTTTAGACCCTTTACTAAATATGTGAGTTCCAGAATACTGCAAGAAGATCAAACACAAGAGAGTGTGAAGTCTGAGAAAACAATTGTTTCATGGACAAAAATTCAGAATTTAAGAAAACTAGCAGTTGAAGAGTCGTTCATCTGATGGAGTGATGATACTTTCATGTGTCAGAGTATTAATAATGTTGAATTTTAACTCTCTGTGGGAACAGTTTCTCTTATATATAAAATGATGAATGGAAGAAGAGTTCTATTGTATATCTAAAATTAATGTATTAAATGATGTGAAAATGTGCCGGGTGGATGTAGCAAACTGACATCAGAATAGCAAAAAAATGGCTCTTAGAAATGGAAGTACCAAGCACTAGCATATAACTAAATTTTGGTATGTGTTGATCTTTTGTGATGCTGAGAGGGTCAGCAGTTCCTTCCAGTAGACTTTCTTTAAAATTTCAGTTCATTATATTAACAAAAATGAGGAAGAAGCTGATGGCTATTCTGCCACAGACTTGCTCTAATGTATTTTCACATAAACTGTTAATCAGACAGCAGCAAACTTGAAATCTTGACTGTTGTTGAAAAAGCAGCAGAATCAACTATCACACAAATCTTTTTAATATTGTAATTTGTCACATTAGTTATGCCTTGGATCAAAAATCGTGATGTTTTTAGAGAAGCATATGCAGTTACTGTTTTGAGCTGAGCTAGCTTGTATTACATTGTCATGTGTCTAGAAAAACACATAGTTGAGCTTGGAGTCAAAGAACAATCCTGCTAACTGAAGGAATGTGGAGAGAAACTTAAAGATATTCTGAATATTAAGTGGTAGGTGATTATAATGCTGCTAATGAACATTTCACTCTTACAGATGATTTTCGATCCTACCATGAGCAAGAAGAAAAAGAAAAAGAAGAAGCCCTTCATGCTGGATGAAGAAGGAGGCGATACACAAGCAGAAGAGACACAGCAGTCAGAAACAAAAGAAGTTGAACCAGAGCCAGCAGAGGACAAAGATGTGGAAGCAGATGAAGAAGACAGCAGGAAGAAAGGTAAAGTAAATCCTTGCAGATAAACTGCCAAAAGTAATCCTGTATTCTGAGTTCAGAAGCCTCGTTTCAAGATTTTGCCATCATAACGTATAACGCTGTCATTCTAACTTGTTCAGGGACTTGTGTTTAGGGACTCGGCACATGCGAAGGGCGTATTTTCCTTCTGCTGGCTAAAATGTTCAGAAGCATATTACCATTAGCTTGCATAAATTCTGCTTTCTTAACTGTAATGCAATCTTTTGACTGAGACAATGGAAAAGGAACCTCTAAAATTGTAAGACAGGGTTTTAAATCTTCCAGATAACAGTAGTTGCCATAGTAGTCTGAAGTGTGATTAACAGAGTTTTTAGTTTTTGGACAATTGTGAATGCCATAATAAGCTTTTATAGTGTATATAAACATGTGACTGAACATGTGTATTTTTTGATTGAGACCAGTGCCACAATGACTCAATTAAGGGAATACTGTTAACTTAAACCCAGTTTGCAGATAAATTTGGCTACTCCTGTAGACCAGAGAAACTAAACATTCCAACTTCAGTTTTCTCTTCAATTTTTTTTTTTCTAAGCATCTCTTCCTTAGAGATGAATGTAGCTAGTTTCCCTTGTACAGGAGCAGGAAAGATTAAGCACTTGAAAATATGTAACCACTGTGAAATGGTACTGAGGTGTTTTTGGGGTAGAGGGAAATTACCTCTTTGAAGCTTAAAAAATTTTCATAGCGATTAGAGATCACTCTGTCTTACTGTAATGTTTTCATTGCAGACTTCAATTGCAGAAGTGAATATAAAACTTTATAAACTGTTACTGCAGTTATAAATACCATTGTTTCATTTGCCAATGCTTTGCTTTTTAGATACAACAGATGACCTGGATGATCTAAACTTCTTCAATCAAAAGAAAAAGAAGAAAAAAACAAAAAAGATATTTGACATAGATGAAGCAGAGGAAGGTGTAAAGGTCTGTTTACAAAGCTGAGCTATCCTATCTGTTGCAGAAAACTTCCTTACTTTCATATTTCTGGGGACTGACTATGCAGAAGTTCTTTGGAGTTTGTGATTATGTCTTGATTCAATTAGTACTTGAACTTATTACGTACGAAAGATGCAGTGAATCGTAAGCTCTGCTTAATATGTTTAATGTGCTGCTACTGAAGGCTTTTTGCCAAGGCATGAAACTAATAAGTAAGAAGAGCAAATAATTTTGTAGTTTGTAGTAAGGACATCGGATATGGGCGAGAGTCTTCGGGAGTGAGAGGAGTAAGTGGATGATGCTGTGTGCAAAATTGTCCTCTAAAGGCCAGCACTTTAAGTGAAGGCTACATTTGCTAAGAAATCTGTTTTTACTTTTTTGCTTTAAAAAAGGTTGGCTACTGTTCTCAGTGTTCCAGAATGTGTACAGGATATTTTTACTCTTCTGAAATTTTATTCCAAGTCTTGTTCTGGTATGATGATGTCAGTATAAATGGCAAGCTCAGTAAGCAAGTGCAGAGAGAAATGTTATATGTAAGCCTATTTTTAAGATTATGCGGCTTTGGCAAGAAAATGTCCCTCTGATCTGCCGCAGAAGCGCTAAATGTTTGTTCTATGTTCTTCATATGTGCAGAAACATGTTTTCTTCTAGGCAGGAACTATGATAACAAATTGCCCTGGCTCCAGGCAGAACAGCCTTGCTTTAACTTAGCGTTTCTGCAGTGTAGGATGTTTTGTTCCTTTTATGTCTTAGTTTGGTTGATGCCTTTAGGCAAGTGTAGTGTGACCTTGTATTTGACCAATCAAAAGTTAGGTCAGAAGATTTTCATCTGCGTAGATTTGGAAATTGTGTAATCTAAAGGAAACAGTTTAAGTTTTAATATAAAACTGCTGTGTTGTGTTAGTCACATGCACCTTATTGCATCTAGAGAGCTTGGCATTTAAAAATCTAGTCCTAGTTTAGTCTCCAGTTAAATCTGTTACACTTCAGGATACGGTGGGTACTATTAGTATCTACCATCCATTAGCATCTAGTATAAGATGCTACTAGTACTGTTCCTAATGCTTTGCCATAAAGATTTTTGCTTCATGGAAAGCTGTAAAATATATTTTTATTATTTTTCTTTGCAGGATTTAAAAATTGAGGGGGATGTACCAGAGACAGTAGAACCTGAAGATGACCTTGATATCATGCTGGGCAATAAAAAGAAGAAGAAGAAGAATGTAAAGTTTCCAGATGAAGATGAAATAATGGAGAAGGATGAAGGTAAAATTCTAACCTTGCTCAGTGGGAGTGTTGAAAACAAAATATAGTCTGAGTTGTAGGTGAATAATTTCTGTTCGAATGTGTCTTTGATTCAAAATTCATTGTGTTATCCATTACTTTATCAGGAATATGTTCTATAGAAGCACTGTATGAATTCCCTGTTTGTGCTGATGACCTGTGTAGACAGACAAACAGGGAAAACTTGTGCCGCTGTGTTAGTGGGGTCTTCTCTAGTGTGCCTTTCAGAAATAGCATAAGCCCAAGATTAAAGAAATATTTCTTTTTTTCTTAATGACTCTCAAACAACTTTCTTTACAGCCTTTGAAGATGAAGATAGCAAAAAGGATGATGGAATTTCTTTTAGCCTTCAGTCAGGACCTGCGTGGGCAGGCTCAGAAAGGGACTACACATACGATGAGGTAATAATGTTCAGAAGGCTTTCAGAATACCTGCCATGATAATACACACCAGCAGTGATAGGCCATTTGCTTCCATATCCTGTTTGCAACTGAAGATTAAAGGACTTGTAGACAGAAACTCATGAATAGAAAAATGAGAAGTGCATCTTTTATTGTGGTTAATTTTCATATAGGGAAATGTTAGTCCTAGTTAAAACAGCTCTGTAGACAGACTGAGATATTTTTACTTTAAGCGGTAAATCCCAGGAAAAACAGATTTTACTTTTTGCAAAAGCATGGTGGGGTTTTTTTGTGATTTTGTTTGTTTGTTTGTTCTGCTTTTTGGGTGTTCAAAGGCATGGGCAAAACACTAATGGGCAACGAGTTTAATGTTCATAATGAACACTGTTTTGAGTTTTTGTCGGAAATAATTGTACTTTCTTTGAGAGATGTGAGATACTGATATGACCGCCTGTTTTTGCAGTTGCTCAATAGAGTATTTAACATCATGCGGGAAAAGAATCCAGATATGGTAGCTGGAGAAAAAAGAAAATTTGTCATGAAGCCTCCACAGGTTGTAAGAGTAGGGACCAAGAAAACATCTTTTGTCAACTTTACAGATATCTGCAAATTGTAAGTTTTACAATTTTACAATCTTTGGAGGTGTGGGAGAAGGGAAACCCCAAGCTATGGGGAACTAGAAGTAAACTAAAAGCTATTTCAATCTCGCTATTCCTTTCCTCTACATTTTTCTGTGTTAAGATAACTATCAAGCTGTACCACTTCAGCTTTCAGAAGTGGTAATTGATATGGTTGCACTTGAATTCTGTGAATTGTGAAAGTTCTGGACTTGCATTGGATTGAAATTAGATCTATTGCTATTGTGGGCTAACTGATTTCCAAGAAGTCTGCATAGTTGAGTCACCAGTGGTATTTGCTTTCAAATCTTGGGGTGAGGGGAATGTTTTTGGTTTTTTTTGTATTCCTTGAGCTTTCAAACTGCAAATACTGCTGCTATTCTGTAAAGTGTTGTAAATTTCGATTTTTTTTTTTTTTTTTTTTTTTTGTTTGCTGCAACACTTTCTGTAAAAATTAATCTCCATCTTAATTATTTCTGGAGAAGACAGTTTTGTTCTGTGTGGGCATTTCTGGGATTGCAACATCTAATTTTTTTATAAGTGTCAGAAGACAGTCTTGATAAAATTTTACTGAGGATCTGAGTAGCTTACTAAAACGGATATTTAATGATCTCTTTTTTCATGGTATGGGATGTGTATGTCTAGTAAGAATAGCAAAATCTCAAATATAGAACTTAACAATCATAGTAGCTACAGAAAGTTGTTCTTTTTCTTGTAAACTGTTTCATCTTATTGTGTCCTCAGTCATATCTGCCTATGCTCTCTGGTGCAGACCTTTTGGGGCTACTCTCATACAAACTTGGTAATTTAAGATCACTTTAGCCTGCCATTCCTGTACAAATATCAGATTTCTCTGAAGGAGAATGTTAAGGATATCTTTACTTTTATTTTTAGATTACATCGTCAGCCAAAACATCTCCTGGCATTTTTGTTGGCAGAATTGGGTACAAGGTAAGACACATGGGAGTCCCACGTGAGTGCATGTAAAGTTTCTGGGAGTGGTTTGGATAAAGTTTTGAATTCCCTTTCTGGGACCTTTCTCAAATATGCTCTGCTAGCAGGGCTGCTCGTCCCAGGCAGACAGGGATAGCTGTGGCTTGTATCTTGCTAAGCAGCTGTGCAGTAGATAAGGAGAGGGAAATGCCCAACTGCCTAATGGCAAGTCTTGAGGGTCTGTGGCTGGTTATTCTGTCCAATGCTGCTGTTAAATATGTCTGTCTTAGTAAAGTCACTTGGTTGCTTTTATATGACTTTAGCCGGAGACTTCATAGTGTGTATTTCATTGTCTGTTCATTTGTCATTCATTGCCTAATGAATGAGTGCCCATGTGTTTTGAGTATTGAATTCTCTTTCGCTCCAAGTTCTAAAAAAAAAAAAAGACCAACTTTCTTGTATCAGAATGGCTAGGAAAGGATCTTACGTTACACCTCAGTAGAGAGAGTTGTCTTAGTCACTGTTGCGAGAGAAATCAGTGCAAATTCCCCATTCTGTAAACTTCTGATTTTCTGATAATTATGTGGCTGGTGCTAGAGTTTGGTAGTGCTGTAATAAGGATGTTGTTTGGCTAAAACTTTGTATAGGTTTTCAGATGTCTTCAGAATTTTGCAGCTTTTTCCACAAAGTAATTTTGGTAGATACTTGCTTTGAAGAGTGTTATCAGTTAACTTGCTTCATTTTTTTTTTTTGGTTAACTTGATGTCTCCTGTAAATCAAAATACTTAACTCATTTTCTTTTAAATTAGTGGTTCCATAGATGGTAACAACCAACTTGTAATCAAAGGAAGATTTCAGCAAAAACAGATAGAAAATGTCTTGAGAAGATATATCAGTAAGTACAATTTTCCTTTTCCGCTATAGATTTCTCCAAAGCCCATTCCAGTTGTGTTAGGGCCATGTGCTCCACTGCACGTGTGTTGTGGAAGCCCTGTGATGAATAGCTACTACTGTGCTCCTGGTTAATGATGGAATAATAGAAGTACAGACTGCTTATCTTGTTATAGTAACAAGCAAGACTTACTCTGCCCTGGCACTGTGGTATACCAAGGAAGCTAGTGAGTGTTTGAGCCTTGCTTATTTTCATCTGACTTTCATTTCATTGCTTTGGGGAAGAATATTAAAAATAACAGTAGCTGTGACTATTTTTAGTTTATGGTGCTTGTTAACTAACAAGTGCAGAAGACTTGGGATCCTTTGACTAGCAGGACACATTTTTTCTGTGTAGCAAAAAATGATGCTTTCAACAGTTTTGTGGCTTCGCAAGAGCTGCTGGCATCTGAGAATGCAACTTTTGTTGTTTCGGCAGAGAAAGTTGTGGAAAGCTAGGCTTAACAGGTTATTATTTTTGAAAAATTGATGTCAGTGCACAAAGTATCAGGGAAAAACTTTGCGAGCCAGGGCAATTTTTAGGTTGCCCAAGCCTGTTATCTCCATGATAAGCAATTACAAATTATTAGATGCATTTGAACGGACTTTCGAGACAGCTGTTACACTAAAAGCTGAAGAAGTGCTGATTTGTTTGCTGAGAATGCATTATCTTTTAATTACTCCTTAATTCCTTTTCTGCAGAGGAGTATGTCACCTGTCATACGTGTCGCTCGCCAGACACAATTCTACAGAAGGACACCAGATTATACTTCTTGCAGTGTGAGACCTGCCACTCTCGCTGCTCCGTCGCCAGCATCAAAACTGGTTTCCAGGCTGTCACAGGCAAGAGAGCACAGCTCCGTGCCAAAGCTAACTAGTTTGCTAATCAACACTGGATTTTGCAAAGTGTTCTGGGGAGATATGACTGGACAGGTTTACAATCGGAATGGATTTACCATTGTATTAAAACAAGATTGTAAAAACTACGAGAAATTTGGCTTTTGATTTGGTTGGTCTGTGAAATCCTTGCAAGATGCAGATCCTCAAGCTGTTCACATACATTTGCTCATTGAATATGCTTTACCAACTATAAGGAACGTGGTGGAAAAGGAGGTGCTTTTTAATTCTTTGAGACTTCTGTAAAACAAGAGATAAATTAAAGATACTATAACAGTGAGTTTCTTTTGATTTGGATTTTTCCTTCAGTTTCCTCTTTAAACAGTTCATGGAGTGGCTGGTGTGTTCTGCAGATCATGCAATTGAACTATGTCTGAAGACCCAGAATAAGGTTTAAGATAAAGGTTATTTTGTTTTTGCCAAACAAGCTTATTTTAGGGAGGTTACCACTAAATGGAGAAATTGGTTACGTACCAGGGATACCAACATGGGAACTGCTCCTGCTTCTTTAGCCATACTAATTTAAAAAAGCATTTTGCACAGAAAGTGGCTTCAGGACATTGACACTGCTTAATTATGGAGAACATAACTTTGGAGTAGTTTAGACACCATACTGATGCTGAATTTTAACATAGAGTTAATAAACTTATGTTGTAGGCTTGCATAGCATCATAGTACTAAATTTTGCAATTTCATAGAAACTTTTCATAAGCCCTGCACTCTTTACCATTTTTAAAAAAGAATTAATGAAATGCAGCAAAAAAAGGATACAGGTAGCATCATTACGTGGTGGCTCTAATGCACTGTCATTTGAATTTTGAAGTTACAGAAGATATTGCCAAGTAGTTTGAGTTTGATGAACACACTGATATGTTTGATACAAAACCTGCACTTCTTTCCACTGTCAGTCGGTATCCATAGTCTATGGGGATACACATAGTGCTGTCCTAGCTAGCTTTGAAGGTGCTGTAGGAGTTTTGCTACAGCTGCAGAGTGCACAGATGCACATGGGGACTGTCCTGCTAGAATACCATGGCAGGCAAAAGAAGAAAGTTTTAGTCAGCCTCTAAAACATAACAGGGTCAGCGTAAGCTGTAAGAATAACTCGGGAACCCTGGTGCCAGTCGCTTCAGGTAACAGAGTAACCTATTCCTGGAAGAAACTGGTGGTAGTTCTAAGGTCAATTCATCTGAAACTAGAAACTCCAGGGTTTCTATTGAATTCTGATCTCTCTCTCTGTATGTTAATAGAGAACATGGCTTTGCTGGGAAGTCACTTACTTGCTATTTGAAAACTTGACAGCACTGTAAGTTTAAAGTCAAGGTTTTATAGTTGGTTTCTTTAAAGCATTTTGAATTTCAAGTGAGCTATAACAAATGTTGGATGTACCTTTTAAGTGAATAAAGCCAGGATCAGTGCCTCTTGTAACATTATTGTTGCATCCTTGTTTTTTTTCTTTAGCAAATAGAGCAAGGCCTTTTGTAGGAAGTGAGAGAAGAACTGGTGTCTGGGAGGTATCAAAGAGCACTGTACTACAGATGTATTGATTTCCTCTGCATCTTTTGTCACATCTGAGTTTTCTTGCATGTTAACAAACCCGTCTAAGTTCCTGCAGCCTGCTCACTTCCAGCAGTAAAGGTATAACGTATCTTGCAGCCCAGCCCCTACAGACGAGTCTCTCGAGGGCTGTATGTCACTGGAGCCCTGGAAGCTGTGAAGGAGTCTCCTTGTCAATTTATGATATGTCCCTGTCCTTGTAAGATAACTCCCCTCTCCATATAAGATGACTCGTAAATCACCTCAGCGAGGTAAATGCTTTTATCTCCACATCATAGACGGGTGATTGGAACATCAGAGTTAGGTGACCTTGTTCCAGTCTCCTGGAGAGTCACCATACCAAATAGAGATCTAGCTGTCTGCTCCAGTCTAGAAACAATGGGATCAACTGCCTTCGATATGGCTGGTGCTGTGTTCTGCAGAAATAATACTCACATTACTAGGATGAAATCTGGTGGGACTAAGTTCTTTATGGAAACCTGTGGCCACAGCAAGGATTTCATGGAAGCTGTATTCATTTTTAAACCTGGATTGGTAAAAAAGAAAGGGTGAGGAAGAATTTCAGGCAGTTCCCATTGAAACGGAGAGGTTTCTGGTTTACTTTTGCATGAGTCACCAGGCCTTGTTCTCAAGTCACAAATAGTTTATGTCAATTACGGACATACCTTACAGGTTAGTTTGGTTGTTGAAGGTGGTCAGCAAGGAGAAGAAAATGGACTTTAAAGGCTGCAGCTGCTGGAAAATGTGAGTTGGTATGATAAAACATGGTGGAGGGATAGGAAAATAACAACAGCAGGAGAATATAAAGTCAAGTGTGATGCTGATACCTATGTTCACCAGAACTCAACTGTAGTGTTTAGGTAACGTTTCTCCAGCTGTCTGAGCTCAGCTCCTCAGGCCTAGCTGATGAGAATAAAAGGCAGAGATTCAGCAGAAAAGGGCAGCTGTGTGGGAATTATCAGTTCAGTTTCCACCAGTGAGGACAATAAGCTACGAAGTCACACTGAATTCCAAAATAATGGTTTACTTTTCTATTTTTGAATTATTTTCACCGTGGTGAAGGTTAGTCCTGTGTTGTTGGAGCAGCAGGTCGTGGCTCAGGCTGGGTATAATTTTCTGTAACTGCCTGCTGGACTGCAGTTTTGGCAAACAGCTCTCCTGGCAATAGGCTTGCACTCCAGCTACTCCAGTGCAAATACTTCCCCCAAGAATTTTTTTCCACTTCCAGGTGCCCTTTTGTCACCCCTAGGAAAGACTCTTCTCAAATGGCTCTGCTTTGGGCGAGTTGCTGAAGTGGTTTTTGGATAAATTGTGAGATTACGTGGCAGAGAAGACAGCATGACTTTCTCTCATAAAATAAAATCTGTACTCTCAGTAGTCTGAATACAGTATGTTGATAAGAGAAGCAGCCCATCTGTAGAAGCCCTTTCCCTGAAGTGGCTCCACACAGTCCAGCTAAGAAATCCATGTTTACTGACTCATTTTATAGTCAGTGAAGTCAAGGAAATGCCCTCGGAGGCAATTCGGCCAACCTTAGAGCCTTGGGAAACTGTTCTTGGATGAACTTCAACACAGGTTAACACAGCCGAGGTACCTGCCTATACCCACCTATATTTATATATGCTACATATATGAATATATAAGTATGTATACACCTACATATATATATATATATATATATACACACAATGTTATATAAATGTGGTTGAACCTGAGCTGTTTGCCCTGTAGTCTCCATCTTAAACTCTAGGCATATCTTCTTATACAGAAGTAGATCCTTTCACTGATCCTGAAAAATTGTCACTGCTGCATAGACTTGAGGAACTGGATTTTCTTTGCAGGAAGAAAATACGTTGTCATTTCCTTTCTCCTAGGAGGACTGTATCAGGCTCAGCAGTTGCAGTGTAAGCTTGCTGTTCTTCCCTTTTCCTTTCTGCATATTGTAAACGACTACATACTTCTAAAACCTAGCAAGAATAACTTCACATCTGTGTTATTTGTCATTTTTCTGATATTTATCCAGCAGAAACGTGTGGTTGCTTCCCTAGTCAGCCTGTTGTATCTCCCGTAGTGAGAGTGTATGGGGTCTGACTATGGATTTTCTAGCACAAAAGCAGCTTCCTTGGATTTTTTAAACTTTGTCCTGCACTGAATTAGCTTATTTCGGTTCTAAAAAATGAATCACAAAGACTTTTTCAGACTCTGTTGAAGGTCTGTCAACTGTGATATAGAGAGGAGAAAAGGTTTTGGGTAGCAGCTAAGAAAACTAATGTTGCTGATTATAGCTGTGACACATAGTTTCTGCAACAGGTTGGAAGCAGCAAAAAATCTGTATTTTTCAAAATCTTTTCTCCTTTGAGAACTTACTTCCATATTAAAGCAAGCTAATATCAACCATTTTTTCCTTCCTCTGGTTTCCCTTCTTTGTGTAGTTACAGGTTTTTTTGTATTTCCTTCTTCTATGTGCAAACATGTCACTTCTCATAGTGTGGAGCAGGGCCAAATAACTGTGATGGTAAAATGCACTTTGCACAAATCTATTGTCCAGCAAAACAGCAGCATTAGGTGACACAGTTGGTTCTTGCTGTGTCTTATGCTGTTTTATGGGTCTCTTGTGATAGCACTTTTCTAAAAAGAAAATAAAGTTTTCTTGTCTTCATTACAGAAAGAAAAGCAAGAAGGTGTGATCCAGTTTGAAAACAAGGCACAAAAGCCATGAAAAAGTATCTTTTGTCTGTTTTTTTTCCTCCTGGTCCTCAGGAGCCCTCTGAAGGAGCAGTGCCAGGATCTCTGGGTTCTCTTCCAGTGATAAATAATCTCTGCAGTCACTTGCAGTGATAAATAATCACAGGTTTAAGGCTGTGGCTGCCACTGGAGTTTGTCTTGCTTTAGGTTTGTCTTTAGGTTTATCTTCAGAACAGATTGCTTCTAATTTTTTCGCAAACACTGGTTCATTTTTGATTCCAGACCTGCTCCACTTTCACAGACAGACCGAGGTGCATGCTGAAGCACGTCGCTTTCCTCTGTGCTTGGCTGAGGTGAGGGAGGAGACCTTGAAATCCTGGCCACAAGCAAGAACCTTTGGCGCTTGAAGAACAATGGGTTTTAGGGCTGGAGCTCTGGGCCTCCTGAAAGTGCTGCAGGCAGAGAAGTGTCTTTCTGAGCAGCCCAAGAGCAGGTAAGAGCATACCTTGGCCCGGGTGGATTTGAAGGGGGCCATAAGAAAGGAGTTGAGCTGCAGTGAAGATCGGAAGTCACCACCATTCAGGGACACCCACCAACTTTCTCCTGAACTGCTCAGGACTATTAAACGGGAGGCAATGCCGAGCTTTAGATGCGTGGAGCGTTTGTGCTGTCCGGCTCCTGAGCTGCTGTCCTCCTGGGGGTCCCCTCTGCAGAGCAAGTGGCTCCTGCGCTGGCATCTCCCAGCCACCGCGGTCCTCCTGCTGCTGTTCTGCAGATGGAGCTGGGTCCTCCCATCTGAGCCCTGTCATTTTTGTGTGCTGGAACATGATTTTGCATTAATATTCCTACTATCCCGAAATACTACCTGAGGGAACAGCTGCTAAAGAAGTAGCTGTGTGGTTTACCTTGCTGATTTGGGTTATAATACCCAGGGCACCATCCTTGGTTCGTTGTGCATCTGAATGCAATCTGAATTCATAGGAAGTGTTGTCTGCCCACGCTCTCGTGCTTTGAAATTAATTCATTAAGGAACTAAGAAGACCAATGCATATCCTCTGTGTATCTGTGCTCCTACAGCTCCTGAACTGCCCCAGGTTCAACATACTCCTAGGTAGGTGTTCCCCACTGGTAAACATCAACCACTGGTAGATGTTTAGCCATTTGCCCAGGCAGATGCTCTCCACATACAGGCAATGTTGGCGGTTAACAAATGTGTAAGGTGGATATTTAAATTACGTGAAGGGAATGGCAATTAGGAAAGTTCCCAGCTATGGTCAGAGAAGACTCAGGACTCTGATTTGTCTGGTCTTTGGAGTTTTCTTCTAGTTTGACAACACAGTATTTGTTTTTTTGGTAAGAAAAGAATGCAGATGTGCCTTGGATCGGAAAAAGATTCCACAAAAATGTGATGTGGGAAATGGTCACAGTGTAACTGAAAAGCTGTACATTACCAGAGAACAGCTGAAATGATGGCAACAAATCCGGCCTCCTTTTTTGTCCATTATAGTGGAGTGTTACAGTGTTATGAGAGACAGAAACAGGCTTAAAAGCCTCACAGCTTAAATGCACTTCTCACAGAGGAGTGCTACTTTTCTTTGCCCTAAATCACTACGCCTGTGCTTTTCCAGCCTGTTTCAGTACTTGATTCCAAGCTACCAGCTTTGTTTCCATATGCTCTGCTGTTGGAGAAATGCTTTTCCTGATGGAGACTAATTCAGGTCTATTAAGGCACGGTTCGGAAGCTGCGAGGGGCAGTTCCAAAAGCAACATATCATTCTCTGTGATTATTTTAGATGAGCACAGTGACAGGTTATGATCCAATGTGATGGCAAGCATATGCTGTTTCGCACATGAACAGAAGAGTCCTGCTTGTACATGGCCCATCAGTGCCACCCAATGTGTTGGGGACCTGCACGGCTTCCTTCTGTGGTTATCAGGTTGCAGGGGGAGATAACCAGCCCTGATGGGGACAATTGGGAGCCTCTTGCTCTGCATGGATGGCATGTCTCCTTGAAGGATTTATTGCTTTTTTTTTTTTCCCCCCATATGGGAACAATTTCCAATGGACCATTATTTTGCTTGATTTAAGAGCAAAATTTTCCAAAGCTTTTTTTTTTTTTTTGTAGCAGAGCTTTGTGTGTCAGCAGCCACTGCTGTGATCTGCTTTTTCAGTGCAGCCTTTCAGGGAGGTGCCAAGTGCTGGAGCTGCTACCTGGGCTTGTGCAGCCAGAAGGACTCATAGAAACCGGGAATGCTGGCAGGTGTTATTCTAAGTCTACATTTCCTTGGTTTCACCCTTTGCTACCTATTTCAAGGCGCTACTAAGAGAATGCTTTGCTAGATGAAAGCTTTTTCCTGATACCACTGGTTGTCCTCCCTGGGGACCAGCATCTTCAGCCAGGATTTTCCCAGCTGGACATCGTGGACATATCCAAGCTGGATATTCCCCAGCTGGACATATCTGTAGATGCTCATCGAGTCTCTACAGCTGGAACTGGGGAAGTGCAGTGACTCCGCACTGCACTTTGGGGCTGACCGCGGTGCAGCCCAGGGCCAGGCATCGAGACCTCATCTGAAGCGGGTTGCGAGGTCTTTGATGGAAACCCTGCCTGCAGTTCTGTTCTGGCCCCGAGTGATGTGGAAGCAACCAAGAGCCAATGTATAACTATGCAGAAAGACAAAAAAAAAAAAAAAAAAAAAAATATTCATGTCTGCTATTGCCACCTGCAGCTGTAGCGAAACCCAAAACGTCCTGGAAGCTGGTGTGTGTCCTACCTACTTCCCAGAGGTTGAGGCAAGGCAGGGGGGACTCAAGACCTTCAGGTTTGTTTGCAGCAAGGACAATGCTGTTGTTACCACCTGATGCTGCTCATTCCTGGCAGCGAATGTGAGAAACGGAGTCAAGCCTGGGGACTTTCCTAATAAGATCTCGGCGTGGTAGGGAAAGGCCTTAACAAAAGCACTTTTTCCAGACCATGAGACAAAAACCAGAGACATATTCAGTGGGAGTTGTTCGATTTTTGGCCATGGCTTTTCTTCAGCCTGCCCAGATGTTGCATTAACTATGGGGAAACACCAAGGGAATTGACACTGCGTAAGATAAAGCCAATCCTACTGGTAGAACTGGAACTGGGCAAGGTAGCAGAGGTTGTCCCCCATGCAGGAGAACGTGTGTGTGTTTGTGTGTGTGGATGGGAGAGAGTGAGGAGAGAAGACAGCAGAAGGAAATTAGATTTCTTTCTTTTATTATACAGGATTGTATGTACAAGGTCACCTTTCTCCCAAACATCAGCATCACAGTCAGTTCATAGCAAAAAAACTGCAGCTCATCTCTCAAAGCCTAGAAAACAGCTCTACAACGGCTCAGTACAACACAATGGATAAATTGTACAGGAACCGGAAAAAAAAACGGTTGGGGAAAGCACGGTTATCCCTTTACTCCATCATGAATTATCTTAAACTAAGAAATGCAAATACAACATTGTGCTTCAAGAGCCATGCTTGCTCTGGGACGGCCCTGTGGGCAGAAAGCCTTGCCCCCCTCAACCTATTTTTCTCTCTGCCCTTCTCAGAGCGATGCTGCCGAAGAGGCCTGGCTCTGAGTGCGGGATAGGAAGCAGGAGTCCCCCTTCCACAGCCCTCCGTAGATGTGGGGAGCAAGGAGCAAACTGCTCTGTTTGAGGAGTGTTTGATGGAGGAGAAGGTGAGGATGGCAGTCTGGATTCAAAGCCCTGGTGTGGGGCTGTGTTTCAGAGGGGAAAGGGCCAGAGAGGAGATGGGAAGGACACATCCGATCTGAATAAAGTGCTGCATTAGTCTCAGTCCCATCAACCTCTGAACTTGGGAAAAAGGGGTAAAGCCATGAAAGATCGAGAAGGAAACGGCACAGAGACGGACACCGTGGTGCAAAAAGGTTCCCATGACAAGCCACATGCTGCCTGCTGCAACCCTCCGACGTCAGGGCTTAGGGCAGGTCAAAAGCAGTTTGAACTTGGAGATACGGGTCGGTGCTTGAGGGCCCACATGCATTGTGCTCAGCGTGTTCCTTGTTGCCAGTCTCGTGAAGCTCAGGCAAGTCACCTCGTTGCTCAGATCTGTCCTGACGATGCTGGAGCGAGGGGAGCAGCGAGCCCCCAAGATGGGCTGGGTCGCCCGTCACTGCGCTGCGCAGGGAGTGGAGTCACCTCCTGTCCAGGGTGCCACTGAGCCAAGAAAGGGGTCTGTGCCACCAGCCTGCAGGTGCCTGCACCCTCTCCCTCTGCAAGGGCTCCCTGAGCCTTTACAGAGCGTTTCCAAGGGAGCACAAGGAGCCTGACCAAGCAGGGGACGTAGGCTTTGTTGCTGCTGCTCTGGCGTGCTTGCTTTCCTGCAGGCACCTTCCTTCTCCCAACCTTCTCCTCCAGCAATTGCAAAGAGCTCAGCAATGAAGCGGCACAGGCTCCTTTCTCACCAGAAGCGACCACACACCCGTGACAGCTCATGGGACGAGGGAACAGGGGATAAAGCAACTGTGCTAGGAGGGGAGCACGCCCCACACCCTCTTGCTTGACATGATGTGTGAGACCATAAACTGTCCCAACTTTTCCTCCAGTTAGCAAGTGCTCTGGCCCTTAATTACCATGGGTAAAACAAAGCTAAACTAAAAACAAAACAAAAAACCTCTTTGCTGGGTATTATTTGTTGACCCTCCTCTTCTACAAAATGCTATACAGCATCTCTGATTTACTTGGTAACACAATCAGTCGCCCCTCTGCAGTCAGTGAAGATTATGGGCTGTGCAAGGTTTGGTTGCTGCCTGTGCTGGCAACAGAGCTCTGAATCCATCCTGTGGGGCACTGGGGATCTGCTGGGGTGAGTATTTTATTTTTTTTTGTCTTTGCTTTACAGATGGGTGGGAGATGTTGGGCCATGTTTCTCCTTTTCAATGCCGAGTAGAGATGACAGCAGCCCTTCAGGTTAGCTCGTCTTGCTCAGGGTGCCAGGACAGGGTTTAGCCCCGTGCTTTCCACGCATTGTTGCTCACTGCTGTTCTGAACAGGCTGCAAGCAGAGGAGAGAAAAAAATAGGTGCATCATTTTCCCTGAGCTTCAGAGAGGCAGTGGGTTAGGAAATGGAGAGAGGTGTTGACTGATGGCCCAGGTGAGCAGCCAGGCTCCATGATAGGAAAGCTCAGAGGATCAGTGTGAAAGAGCATCTCCTGAAGCAGCCAAAAACAAAAATATATATATTAAAAAAAAAAAAAAAACAGTATGGGATGAAAGCTTATGCTCCAAAAGCAGTGCGTGAGCTGTACCTGGTTACTGTAGTCTGGCATCCTCCACATCTGTGTAATGGCTGTTCTCCTGAGGGGAAAAAGGACCAGAAAGAGGAAATCAGTATTTGCTCCTGCTGCCCTGCCTGAGATGCTGTGATTTGTCAAATACTGGGGTTGGCTTCTTCTACGGCTTGTGGGAGAGCTCTCACAGCAGGAACCGTGCTGGGCTGCTCAGCAGTGGGGGAGCCACTGCCTGCTGTGGCTGTTGTGCACAGTGGCTGCACCTTCTGTCAGCGACAGTGTCAGGACAAAAGCAGGAATTTGCTCCGGGTCCTTACCCTGGCAATGCCCAGAGGAGACTGTGGGAAGTGTCATTCCCTGCTTGATTCTGAGGTCGGGCTCCTGCTACCCCCTAAAGGGACCAGGATGAAAGTGAGCCCACTGCAGGGTAGCACCATAAAGCCAGGTGTTTGCTTGGGGCTTATCCAGAGTTAGCACCTGTAGTGGGTCCAGCAGGTCCCCAGGGTTTGAACCTGTGGCAACCAGTGCTGCTGAGCTACTCTTTGCCTTTTGAATGCCTCGTTTTTATATGGCCAGGTTAAGTGAGAGACTTGTGCTCAGCATGTATCCATAGCACGTGCCAAAAATGGGTGGCACTCCATGTATATGCATGGCTGATACCTTGTTTTGACACTGTGAGAAGTCTATTTAGGAGCTGGGAAAGGCCCACACCAGAGAACAGGCATGCCAGGAGGTCTTCAAAACTCGCCTGGATGCCACCCTGTGCCACGTGGTGGCCAGCTTGAGCAGGCTGGACTAGATGATCTCTAGAGGTTCCTTCCAACCTTAAACATTCTGTGATTCTGTGATTCTGTGATTGCTCACTAATGTTTGCCCAAGGATGAAGCTGGTCCATGGCTGCAATTGTGCAACAGCACTGCTCTTGGTCAGAGAAGCTGGTCCCATTTTGCAGCAAAGATCATCATCTAAAATGGTAATATTTAGAGTATTCACCAAGCCAAAGACCACAGTGATAGCGTGGTGGGTTGAACCTTTCTCCATACCAGAGTGCTTTTGAAAATAAGGCATGAGAAGGTCCCCTCATGGAGCCATTCTGCAATACAGTGTCACTGAAGGGATTAGACAGTCAGCAGTGCTACTTCACTTCCTGCCGAGGCCAGATTTTGTGAGGGACATTTTATAGATGGAAACGGAGCTGGGGGACATCTGCAGGTGACACTAACCAATCTGAAAGGAAAGGAAAGGCAAGGGATCTTAATCTAAATCTTGCTAGTAACAGACTGCTTTACAAGGCATGGAAGTCCCATTCTGATTTCAGCTCTGAATCTGCTCTTCTCTGCCTGCTTAAGCCAGGTGGAAGCTCCTGACTCACTGGAGCACCTCTAGTCTACTGGGCATATGTGTGAGCTGAATTCCTCGTGGGAAAAAATCCAGGGAATTAGGCACAGAGAATTCATGTATCCATCATCTGGCTACTTCCACTGCACCTCAGCCAACCTCCAAAAAAGGCTCCATGTACAGAGACTGTGCATAGGCAAACGCCTCAATCCACCAGTGCAAGGAAGGAGGGACAGCAAGAGGTTACGGTCGAGAGAGATCTCGATGGAGACTACTGAGATGGGCAAGTCTGAAGCCTTGTGACTTCCAGCAGCAGAACGAAGTCTACTCTGCCTGCAGAGCTGCAGTTACCAAGCTGCCTGTGAACAGGTTCTTCAGAAGCCAGGACAGAAGGCAAGGAGGCCGTGTTGCGTTTCATGCAAATGGATAATTCAAATGCACGTAGCTTGGCCCTGGAACAGGCAATGACTCAGGTTAAAGGCCAGAGGACACCAAACCCAGTGACAGCATGGTGGGCATCTGCTACAGATTGAGAAGTGTATGAAGCATTCTCTGGGCAGCTAGAAGAAGCTTCATGATTGCAGGTCCTGCTAATCACAGGAGACTCCAACCACAGGAGACTCCACCACTCCACAGGAGACTTCACCTTGACCTGCTGGAAGGGCAATGAGACTGGGAAAAAGCGATCAAGGAGGTTTCTGGAGAGCATCAAGGACAATTTCTTGGCATGGCTGGCTAATAAACAGATTAGGGGATAGCCTTCTGGACCTGTTACTGACAACCAAATCAGAACTGGTAAAGACATGAGGGTTGAGATAAATATTGGCACAGAACAGGGCACAAATTCATACGGAGGGCCAGTCTCTCTCCACGTCTGTGGGCTGCAGCATTCCTGTTGGACTTGACTCCTCTGCCCCTTCTCACTGCTGGGTACCCTCGCCATGGTCAAACAGAGATTAGTGCACAGAACCAGGCAGCCAACTTCAGCCTCTAAGCGGGGTTGAAAGGAAGTGTGTGTGCAGGGTAGAGGTGTGCAGGATATGTCACGCTCTTAGTGACAAATTGGGATGCAGTGTCCATGGATAGCAGGGGGAGAGCTATGCTGATGTGTGTAGGTTTGAGACACGGGATGAAGAAGTCACTCCCCAAGAACTGGAAAGATTTAGGACTTGTTCGGTGCTGCAAGGTCAGGATCAAAGTATAAAGGATGTTTTTTTTTTGTGATTTGCCTTGCAGTGTTTAAGGAAATACCCTTGTGGATGAACTGCACACATTAAGCTGCCCCATGCTGAGCACACTCAAGCCTGTCTGATGCTGGCAGCAAAAGATTTCTGATCTCAATGCCTCTTTAAGACCAGAGAATTACAGAAAATAGATTGTAGGGACCTGAAATAGTTATCTTGTTCATTTCCTACACCTAATGAGGACCAGTCCATCCTAAATCATTCCCAGCAGATGTCTGTCCACTCTGTTTTCATATCCCACCAATGCTGGAGAATTCCACATTTGCTGTTGACAGTCTGCACAGCGTTTTATCATCATGAGCATCAGCAAGTTCCTCCCGCCCCTGATTTCTACCATCTGTTTCCCTTGAGGTAATTTAAACCTGGGCTTCCTTGTCATAATCAGCGGAGATGAAGGCCAGCTTTTGCCTTTCTGCTTTACAGCAGTCTGTTATGATGTCTTCTCTTAATCATCTCTTTAGATTTAGCAGTGGTCACAGGCTTCAGCTATGAGGCCCCTGAAGATGAAACAGTTGAAAGACTCTGTTCAGATCCCTCATCCCTCCTCACCAAGGCGCCCTGGGCAACAGAATCACAGCTACCCTGACTCGCTGAAGCCCAGCAAAGCACGCAGGGCTAGCTCTCTGGCCAGTACCTGATTGCCCTTTGTAACTGCCCATTTCATCTGGGTCTGGAGCTGATCCTGTTTTCAGAAGAACTTTAATTTTTAAGAAATGGCAATGCCACCAACATGAATATAGTACCCTGCAACGTCACAGTAAGCAAACATATTTCTCATCCTGTAAAATGCATAAACAGATGCTCAATTTTGGGCACAGAAGTTGCCCACTGGGCTTGCTTTCACTCCCTGCCTAGAAAATATCCCTATGCCATGGAAACACTAAAGCCAATGCGTATGACATCAGGCTAATCAGGCTCAGGCAAGTGCTGCCCTCAGCAAGGATATACAGCTTCATGCACAGCAGTAGCCACTCGCTCAAACTGCAACTAGATTTATGCAATTTGGTGTCCATCCAGAAGAAAAGTCAATGCAAATACAAGTTGTTAGTAAAGTGTAGTCAATATACTATGGCATGTCTTTGCCACATGTTTTAGTCCAGCTGAGAATCACTCTGGAGCAAAGCAACTTGTTTTAACCATTGATTAAACTGTTGTGAAATGAAGGATAAATGTGAACTGAATTTCAAGAGCCAACTATGTTTCTTCGGCATCTTCATGTGTATTCTCTAGGTCAAATCTTTTGCAAGAAGAGCACTCTGGAAGAACAAGCTGTAAGCAGTCGTGGGATTAAATACAACTATTTATTTTTAAGCAGAAAAAAAATGTATTTTCCTGCGGACTTAAAAAGTTCTAGGAAAACTGCAGTGTCTTATTAAATTCTCTTGGCTGAAGGGACATATTATCCCAACCCTCTTACCAGTTCATCTTCACAATCATCTCGTGCAAGACCCTCTTCCTCACCCTCATCCCCATTCAGTGGCTCCTCTGTGTTGATCTCTGCCTCTGATGCTGTGTCTTCCTGGGAGATCTCACTTTTGCTTCCGTCAACCTTCTTCCGTACTTCTGTAGGACCAAAAGCCAAGATACCTGGATTAGAGGGGACATTTCTCGAAGTCTAATGAGACTAATCCAATGGGCCCTCATATTCAGGAGTTGCTATATTAATCATGAGCATATCATGGTTTTCTTTTTCCCTACAATATCAATTCTGAGGAAGCTGACTGAAAGAAATACTGGAGAGGCAAATCAGAATTCATTCTGCCAGCCTTTGGGGTGAGTATGAAAAATACAGTATATGTCACTAATTTTAAATCTATTTCTATAATTTGTAGGATTGAATTTTGGCAGCCTGTCTACATGGCAACACGCGTTGTGTGGCTTTTTTTTTTTTTTGCAGTGATGTTTCCAGTTAGTCTAATATTTGTAGCCCATTTTCCCCTTCTGTTTAAATTCCCTCATGGGCCGAAAACGAACCATGCATGAAAACGAACTGCAACGTAGCCTACTGCTGGCATATAAAATCCAGAAAAGTTTTCAGCTTCTCATTTCCATTTCAGGAAAAGAAGGACATTCCCTCTCCCACCCTGCAGAAAGCAACTGGGGGCTCGTAACCAGGAATCTGCTGCTGAGCAGACTAGCAGACTTTGAACTCCTTGAGGCAGGGACGTGCATCTTGGTGTTTGCTATAGAAGTCGTTCCTCCTCTTTGGTGCTGCAGAAACATCTTGTGCAGGGGCTGAGGGGCCTCCCTAGCAAGAGCTGGTGTGGGTGCCATGAAGGCAGAGCCTTCTGACTGTTAGGAGCCACTAAGCTGTGGATGTTAGGAGCCACTACGCTGTGGAGACCGGCCTGGCCACCCAAACGAGGTGCTCAGTCTTCCCTGAGCTGCAGCTCCTGGCCCTTTCCCGACCAGCCGTGGGATCTTCAGACACAGCCAACAAACCTGTGGACACTTTCTGTTCTTCAGCAATCTGCTCCAGTCTGCCCAGAAGAGCGTCGATGTTGGATTTGATCTGGGTCAGTTCGGTTTTGATCGTTTGCAGTTCGCTGCATTTCACTTGGAACAGAAGAAGGAAAGAGAGGTACTTTACTCTACTTGTCCATCTTATGCATTAGGGATGTTGCTGTGAGCAAGATGTTGGTCATAGCCACCATGAATGCTTGGCCCTCGTGGCCATAGCTGTGCTACAGAAATCTCCAAAGCTGGAGATGGGGGGATTTTGACCTCGGCACACTGGGCAGAGCCCTTTGGGGGTCTTGGAGGACGGGGCTGTCTCCTCTTGGCTGCCTGGCAGGACAGCCTGGACGGTGCTGGGGACCTGCTGTATCCACCACTCGGAGGCCCCTGATCATTCAGCCTCCGCCCTCCTGCTGACCCAAACCCCCTCGCTGGCCAGGGGACATGTGGGTCACACTGGGGCCCCCGCTCGCACATACTCACACTTGAGCTTGGCCGAGCTGTTGGCAATGGCGGCCGACCTGGCGAAGAGCTTGACGGGCAGCGTGGCCTTCACACGCCGCACGAGCGGGATGGTGACCCGGGGCCTCTTCACGGGGACCACCCGCGGCACCGGCGACACGCGGCCCCGGTACTCGAAGAGCCTGTGCGGGGATGGGCAGCGAGATGAAGCACCAGGGGGCTGCGCCAGGCCAAGCAGGGCCCGCCAGGCCGCTGCCTCCCCTGCTTACCTGTCGTAGAAGTCATCTCTGTAATAGTCGTAGTCGAAGTCGTAGCCGCTGCAGGGACAAAGGACAGGGCTGGTTAGTGACCACGGAGAAGAAGAGGATGCAGAGGGTGAATTTAATAGCTGTTGTATTCAGAGGTTTAGTGCCTCCCTTCTCCTCCTGATACCCTGTCCATGTCCTGTTTTGGCGTCTTTCATTGAGGCACCAAAAGTTCCACAGGAACTTAAGGAAACATTTCTAGACAGTGAGGGTGCCAGAGCCCTGGCACAGGCTGCCCAGAGAGGTTGTGGAGTCTCCTGCTCTGGAGATGTTTCAAACCCGCTTGGCCGCAGCCCTGTGCCCCGTGCTCTGGGTGACCCTGCGTGTGCAGGGGGTTGCACTGGGTGACCTCTGAGGTCCCTTCCAGCCTGAAGCATTCTGTGATTCTATGATTACGTTTCAGCCCCTGGTTTTCTCACTTCCACCATGCCCTGAAGACCCAACCCTGCTCTTGCCATTGCTGCAGCAGGCTTCTTGCAAAGCAAGAGAAAAAACACGAGTGCAGTGGGTGTTCGAAGAAGTGGTCATCCTGGTGCTGACTGATACCCCATCATTAGGGACATGGTGTTACAGAATGAGGGCTCAAGCATTAAGTCTGAATCAATAAAAAGAGAGACATGAATTTGCTGTCCTGCAGCTTAAGCAAGAAGTGACGAAGAGGAGCGTGGCCAGGGCAGCAGACAAGAAATGTAGTTTTGACCAGAAATTCAAGTAATCACCCAAGATGCTTATGCTGGTACTCGTCTTTGCAACACATATTTAGGTCCAGCATCTTGCTGCTTTCTGATACTGGTTTTCCCTTTCTCATCTCTAGCATCCTCTCATCCTCTTCTGACTTAACCAATGGGTCTGCTGGCCTCAGAGATGAGAAATGACTATTCCAATATCCCAGATAGCATCATCTGCATTTATTTTCTTACATGGCTTTCTCATCTGAAAGGGGAAGTTAATTCTCACCACAGCAAGTCTTGCTGCAATGTAACTACCATGTTCATATAGCACACAAGGCAGCATCGAAAGTGGAAAATTTTCAGGGAGATATTTCAAGACTGGTAGCTTGATTTTCATTCTGACCTGGTAGGAAACTCGGAAATATAGAAAATCTTCAAGAAAAATAACTCCCCTCAGCCTTCCAATCAATCTTGATCACCAAGAATGTTTGACTCCAATTCTACTCGAATCCAATAAACACAGAATACAATCAAAATAGGAAGGCACTTGAAAAGAAAATTGAAACAGCCTGCATCTACATTGTCAGACTACCTCTTTTCTCCCTTTAGATGCAACTTAAATGAAATTGCTGCAATTTTGTAATATTTCTTATTTCTGTCAGCATTTGGTGAAATGCTGCTGGCTGGCTCTAGCAATGCCATGGAACAGAAGTTCTTGGGGTCCGTTGACAGGAAAAAGCAGCAGTAACCTCTCTGTACAGTTCATGGATGCTGCCTGTGAAGATGCAGCATCTCCATTCACCACAGAAACTTGTCCCTGGGCTGCCACTTGTCATCGGTCTCTTCTCCTGCTAGGGAAGCTTACTATGGCTTGGAGGCATCTGCCAACATCTGAAACACTCTTGTGCCTTTCTTCTTGTCTTAGTCACCCTGCTGGGGCCATCCTGGCCCAGATGGGTGAGTGTATATGTGTATCAAAAAGCTAAGACATATATATTTATGATTTTTAAGACTATTTTAGGACTTGCTGAAACACCATTTTGGTATGTTAAGTGGCCAATAAACCCAGCAAATGCAGCAGGAGTCATCTAGGGAATGGATGAGCAGCACCAGAAAGCCTTGCATTTTGCTGCTGCAAATCACCATTGGCACAATTTTGCCTCTTGTTATTTACAGCTGCCACAGAGAGTTAGGTCACAGCGTGTCTGATCTTCAGGATGGGGGCTGGCGCAAGAACCTCTGCAACCTGGTGTGGGCGAAAAGCAAGGGAGTTGGGAGATGCTCTGGCTCTGGTTCTGGAGCCCAGGGGACTTGAGACACTCAGCATCCCATTTCAAATGGATGTAGGTGCTTAAGTGTCCTGGGGACCTGGGTCTGACTTTCCAAATGTGGTGAGACTCATCTCATGGAGCCTATAAACAGATGGAAAGAAAGAGGCAGATCCAGGTTAGCATTCATTACATTCAGAGGTAGACATTGCAAATAAGTTGTGAGCTGTACTGAAGAGGTGATTTCTCTTTTTTTTTTAATCCATCCAGACTAAACAAAAAAACCTCTCTGTAACTTCGAAAGGGGCAACACAGAGCCTTGCTGCTATTGCCTCAGCTGCAGTGATTTATCTAGAAATTGTGCACCTGATGATTTTACTGCATGTAAGACAAACCTCATCAAAACTGACGGGTCATTTTTCAGTGACCTGGCAGGGCTTACTATGTGTGGAGGGATAATTTTGGCCATTCTTCAATCAGTTGGTGACACTGTGGCCTTTAACAATAAACCAGGGACAATTAAAGAGCGAGCCAGCATGCGGCTGTAAGGCTGCGTCAGGTAGCATGCTGCCTCCAACTCCTGATGTTTCTTCTGTGCCATTTCTCTTTAATAATTAAATCACATTGTTTCTAATGACTCATCAAAGTTCAAAACCAACACATTAGGGATAGAAGGGCAAATTGTTTCAATGTGGTGCACTTCCATTATATTTGCAGGAGGGAAGTTGCCACTTTGGAGTATGCACCTGAAGCACAGATGTAAATCTGAGTGGTGATGCTTTTAATTACCTGGCTGATGGCCCTGTATTGATAATCATGAATGACAGGTTGCTCTCAGGTTGCATCCTTCTATTAACGGTCGCACAGTCTTAATGATTGCAGCAGTAGAAATAGTATCAGCTGCAAAGCTACTTGCAACATCTGGCACTGATTAAATGGGGAAGCTTTGAAAATCCTGCACGTCTGGTGGGAGATTCTTTCGCTAAAGTAAATGGAAGCTGGGAGAGAGATGTGGGAAGGGAAAGGGGCATTTTCAAGGCTCTAGGGCTCCACAGAAGCTGCTGTGGGCTGGGAGGGTGCCCAAATCTCTACTGTCCGTGTTGGGTCCAGCAGCAGGTGCCATTGTTGCTCTTCTCTGTGGCTGTTTCTAAGCCCTGTTGGTGGGTATTTGGCCCTGGGCTCATGGGGATGTTGTTGCCCCTGGCATTGCTCTGCAGCCATGGGATGCGCGGAGCTGCTCTTTGGAGAAGGTTCAACACCAACTCCTGGTAGCGAAAGGAATGGGTATAACCAGGGATGTGAATGCCAGCAGAGCCAAAAGGAGACCTTTCTCCTGTGCCTACAGGCTACGAAAATAAGCCAGTGGCAGTTTGTGTCTATCACCATTTCATGGTTCTTTGGCTCACTGAGCTGGGGTGAGGTACTTTGTTGCTCTTGCAGACCCAGCTTAGGCTGTCTCAAAGCTCGATGAAGAAGTCCCTACAGCAGCAGAGCAAGCCCAGCACCAACAACACTCAGAAGGGTGCAGCTTTTTGCCTCCAAAGGTCCCATACAAATGCTGTGCTCACAGCACTACAGCATCTCCTGGGGCAGAGCTGGCTCCTCACCACAGCCCAGGGCAAGCAGCAGACCCAGCAGGGCCGCAGGGACCAAAGGGACTGCAGTCCTGACAGCCCAGGAAAGAGAGTGCTTGCCAGGGGCTTTTGTGACACCGCACACAAACACCTGGAAGGCACGGCCAGAACACAGGTTTATTGTCAGCTGGCCTCAGTGCCTCACTGGCGGCGTTCCCAGGCACGTCTGCATCCTGCAGAGTGGCCCAGGATCCCCCCTCATCCCACTTGCAGCCTGTTGGGAGCAGCACGGAGACGTGGGAGCTTGTGTGCAAAGAGCTGCTCAGGCAAATGCTGCAGAGAGTGGGAGGGAGCCCTGGAGGCAGATCGAGGCCGTAAGGATTTATGGAAACTGAAGGTCTGGCTCCTACAGAAGGAGAACTTGTGCTGGTAGAAGCCTGTCCACGTTTTACCTACTGGTGGCAGAGGGGAAGCCAAATCCCACGGGATTTCTATTAAATTTCAAGCACCCAAACACACACCTGGGCTGGTGGATCAAGGGAAATTGTCTGGATTTTTGATTCTTCTGAACCCAAAGGAGAGATCTCTTCTCTTCAATACACAAGTCTCTCTCATGTTGAGACAAAATAAACCCTGGCCCCTAAGGAGGTAATGTGCTCAACACAGTATTTCTAAAAGCTATAGGTTGCAATTTGGAAGTCTAACATTTAAAAAATATATTATGGTTAGAAAAAGCTATAACCATAGCTTTTATAGATTTTTTAACCTGGCATCCCTGGGTTTTTCCTAGTCCAGATGGCAAAGTTTAAATCTGTCAGCTATCCAGCACAAAATACTGCTGAAAATTAGAGCAGGATAACTCTCTGGCCTGTATTTTAACATAACTGTATTTGCAAGAGGTAGTAAACATTTCTCTCTCTCTCAGAGTCTGAGATAATAGTCATTACAACAGGAGTGGGTTAGAGACCAAGGCGTGGACCATGAGAAAATGCTGGCAACGCAGGAGTCTTTAATGCCTGGCTGCACGGAACAAATTGATTTGTGCTATAAACTACCCACACTGTGTAAATAGTATGTGTACATATAAATGAAAAGATTAAGATTAAAGGATTAAAAGTCTTCTCTGTTTCCATATATCAGTGTGGATATTTCTCCCTGCCTTGCATCCCATGCAAATCCAGGGGGCCAAACTCTGCTCATGCAGCAAGCTGAATTAAAACTTCAGTGAGTCTCCTTGGGCAACTTTTAAGTAGTGCGAGGTATATGTGACATCCTGGACTGTTGACTGAGCTCTCTGGGGCAGTCCCTGCATGTATCTGTGGTGCTGCGGGGAGGCACACACAGGTGCTTCGCTGGGGAACGAGTTTACACACACTGGCTCATAAATCTAGTCCCCATAAAGAGATAAGAGCCAAGCAATAACCTGTTACCTCCTTGGTTACAAGGTAAGAAACGCTCCTCCATCACTCACAGCCATAACATTTCCCTGGATGCTGAGGTTTCTCTTTGGGAAAGCAATGATGTGCTGTAACGTCGCAGCACCTCCTGCCCTCCGCGTCTGGCTGGCTCACTGGGAGCTGTTCCCTCTCTATTAAGGGCAGAACCATTGGGCAGGCGGCTGCTTCCGTGACCTCCCCATCATGCCGCAGGCTGGTGGCAGCAGAAACCCTGTGCACGGTCAAGCCACACGCTTCTTCTTTGCTGACTTCCCTTTTTAATGATCTTCCTTTGAAACTTGGGCCGTAAGGAAGATACTTAGAAGAAGAGGCAGGTGGGAAGCTGAGACTTCCCTTGTCTTGGATTTCTTTTTTTTCTGCAGGTGAAAAACCATGGTTTGGAGTCTGCTATTTCTTGCCCCATTCTCCTGCGTCTTTGCCCAATGTCTCCAAGCTCTGGCCAAGCCCTGGCTCTGCTCTCACTGGCTCTTCTCCCCTCAGCCCAGCAAGCATAAAAGACTCCTGGAGGCAGAGCTCATTGAGCAGCAGCAGCCCGGGGCATTCCGAGGGAAGTGCCAGGACTCGGAAGCATCAACATGATGAGTGGGAAACGTCAGCCTCGAGACGTGGCTGCAGGGGAGGGTACACAGCAAAGACCTACCTGTACAATGCCGAGGCTGCTCTCTTCAGCCCTTTTGGTCTATTTGGCTTAGGTTCCCCGGCCATGTTGATATCTGCAATGAATGAAAATGCAGCGATCAGCACAGCTTTGGATCAAGGCAGTTCTTACTCTTGGCTGGCCTCTTCCTCTTCCTTTGCAGAGCTACTAACCATTATTTTCAAGGCGAATGCCTTGCATGTGTCTTAACCCACGTACACAAGATGACCACTTCAGGTCTGGCTTCTCAGGGGAATTCGGTGTGGTTGTGATAAGACACTGATCATATATAAAATTGCTGGATGCTGCTAACTGGCAATTACAATTTATCCCTTGTTCCTTGCAGAATAAAATGAATTTTAAGCATAAATCACCTGGGCACCGCTTCGATTTGGCTGGGCTAAAAGCTGCACTGGGTGCAGACACATCTGCAGCCACCTGAGCTGATCCTGGAGGTAGATCTTCTCGCAGGGAAGGTGAGAGTGAGCTTCTCTAGTCTGCTGAGGAAACTGGCTCTGCTGCCTCAGTGTTAAATGTGCTTTCAATGTGAGAAGAAACAGTATGGATAATTTAAGGATGTCTGCGGAGCTCAGAGAGGAGCAGAGGAACATGAGTCCTCGCTCCCTCAGAGCTTCTTGGCCAGGGAGCAAGCAAGTCTCTCCTGGCTTATCAGACCCAAACTTTTGTTCTTCAGTCTTTTTCCATGTAAATAAATGTTCTTTGCTGCTGATACTCAATGGTACAGGTGTGTCCAACCCAAAGGGTCGAACAGACACATATGAGTACAGGGCAGGCCAGGCCTGTGGACAACTGCTGTCCGTGTGTCTACTGAGTATATTGGGACCTGTCTGAGTTGGCTGGAGCCGACTCAGAAAGGGTTGTTTTGCTCATGACTGTGCTGTGAGCAAGGAAGGTAGCAAGTGCTTCCTTGGTGCACCCCGCAACACATCCTCGCTCAGCTTCAGGTTCCCCGTTGTGAGCCCCTTTGGCTACCAGGGGCTTCTCATGGGCTGTCAGTCACTTTTCTTGCAAAATGGAGAGCTAATGGCAGCACCCTGCTGCTTAACACCCTTGGAGGGAGATGCAATGAAAGACCAATGGGGGATAACGACACCAATTAGCTCAATTTGCTGGTATGCATCACTAGACAAATGGAGCCTTCGTCGGTGCATGCAGTCAGACCAGAAATTTGTACTTTCAACTTACAGCAGTGATGCACAGTTAGATTCCCTCAGGATTCCCTTGATACTGAATAAAGAGAGACAGGAGCTCAGCACGCACGTCAGCCTGCACAGATTTTGCATCTCAGTGACAATCTGGCTTCCCCTGCTGCATCACTGCTCTCCTTCGACTCCTTTTCATCTGGCCTCTCTGTAGCTGTCACTGGCCCATGTTGCCCACCCCATGGCTGTATCTCTCCTTCTCATCCAGGCATCTTTGGCCACGTGAAATCAGGAAGATGTCCATTGCCTAGCAGAGGCAGCAGGGGCGGATTATTGCTGGATTTCATCTCGCTGCCACTGAAGAGCACTGGAACCTTCCTGCAACGTCTATTCTTCCAAAGGAATACCTGGTTGCATTCCATCATGCTTAAGTTCCTGGAGCTGGAAACAGATGTTTGCTCTGGCCAGCCCTTCCAGGAAGCCTAGAGGATCAAACATTTGCAACCTGCAGATGAGGCTCAAATTCAGAACCTGTTCTGGAAGCTTGACATTTCAGATCGAATTGGCATGTTAAAGCTGAAGATGAAAACATTCCTGCCATGGCAGAAAGCAGCTTCCACTGCCTGCCTGGGAATGGGAAATTTTGCCATCAGCTTGGAGTCCCCCACCTCTCTGAACTCTGCCTCTGAACAGAGCCAAGCATGTCCTCTTCAGCAGCATATCTTCTATGTCCTCTGACACCCTCCATCCTCTCCCCAGGAGCACGGCCGCATGGCTGTGACCTCTCCTTTTGGTGGTGACTTTCCGCTAGCAGTTCTCTGTTGGCTTGTTTGGTGCAGAGATGTCTTCTAACCACACTGGTAGGTATTTTCATCTCCTCCTCTCCACCAGATTCTCTTGCAAGGGGAACATGCTCACAGCCACAAGAGGTTCCTATGGCTCAACTGAGGAGAGCATCAGAAGTTCCTATCAGGTCAGCCTTTCCTAGCCACCTCTCCTCAGCAAAGTGCCTGTTTCTCAGCTGAGTCTGTAGTATCTTTCTGCAGTGTCTGCATGAACGCCTTTCTTCCCTAAGGTCTTGTTCATCATGTCTATGCGCTGTGTGAACATGTGGGCAACATCTGGACTAGAAGCAACACTGGTAGAGTGCACTTCACCCTGGCGCCCTGTGCCTTCAACTTTGCTTTGTGATGAAGGGAAGTGTAAAAGAGTTTCTGGTGCTGGAATAAGCTGTTGATGGAAGCAGTATCCTGTCTGAAAGACCACAGCTAGATTTAACTTCGTGTTCCAGACTGCTGTGCCAGAGCAGAGTGGGAATGGGCTGCAAATCTCTTTGCTGGGTGTCCAATGACCAATGTCTGCAGCAGGCTGACAAGCAACAATTTTTCATTAAAAGTGCTGCCTTCAGTTCCAATTCTCAGCTTAGAGCTGGTTGACAACAGCTTCTCAGCATGTGACCCTTCAGAGCAATCTGCAGAAGAAGGATGCAGCTGGGAAGAGCTGGGGTGGTTTTGTTTGTTATTTTTTATCACACAGCAGTGGTAGACCAGAGCCTTTCACCTACTTGGAGGGAGTGGGAAGAAGTCATCTCTTTTAACATCAGTTGGGCAAAGTTAGTCAGAGATACTTTGAGGTAGACTACAGTCTATCTTGATGGGTAAAGGGTAAGGTGAGCACCTCCATCCCAGGCTGAGCACTCACCCCCAGAGGTGTCCAGCTCTGCTGACTGCACAGCATGTCTAGGTGATCCCTCATAACTGCACACTTATTTTTGAATGGTGAAAAAAGGATGAGATGACGTATGTCTTCCAGGGAAGCCCTACAGATGATGAGCTGCTGTCGTTTTATTCCAAGCACCTTGAAATGAAGAGTACAAACACCACTTTCTGACAATTACTTCAATGCAGGGTTTTTATCTTAAGCTCCCAGTGCTTCTACAAAGTTCAAGCAGCACTGCAGTATACCCTCCAGGGCACTGACATGGGAAAAAAAGAAATCGAGGCTCTCATCTCATGCTATCCTTGTGATCTCCTCTACGACCAGAAGCAGAAGGAGAAACATTGAAGACCAGAAGCCATCCTCCCCTTTGCTGTTTAGACTATAAGATTCATAGCAGTGCACATCTCGTGCTACAGAGCCTGAAGGGGCCCAAAATGCAGTGGGGCTTTTAATGTTACAATAATATCAATAGAATTAACATATCTTCAAGCTCCAGTGACTTTTAAATGGCATAATCCAGCCATTGGAGCTAACATGCATGAATACTAATGACACATGGTTAATTTAGGCACATCTGTTTTCCTCCATGCAAACTCCCTGCTAGATTGTTTACGCTGGCATGTTATGTAGATGCTAGGACCATGCCAGGAACAATAAGATCAGTAACTAAGCAAATGAGTGTGGCTAGGGACCTCAAAACTCAGAAACTCCTGGTCCTGTGCAGAAAGGGAACCAGGAAATGTTTTCCCAGCCTTTCCATTCCTACCAGAGCTCTAAGCAAGAAAATGTGATCAATCAAGATTCTTGTGTTTTAGCTCCTACAATCACAGCCCATAATCATAATTTGAGGGCCTAATGTCAGGGCAGTAATAGGATTTACTGACCTTGATTAGCCTTCCCTGGGACCCCTGCCCAGGAGCCCCATTTAAGCTCTGGTTTGGACACTCAGCCCTTGTCTAAATTATGCTGCAAGACTGCTGCTTTCCAGCTCTACTGTACCCATTGCCTATACCCAAATTGATGCCTATACCCATTGCCTATACCCATATTGACCCTATTGATCCAGACTCGGACCCTGAACTACAGATTGACCTCCTGGCTTGACCTCAGACCTGTGCTGTCACTATGGACCTGCCCAGCCATAACTGGACCTGAGTTGAGGACTGACTTAGTGCTTTACTTCAGATCTGCCTCAACACCATGGACTTGCCTGATGATCTGGGCTCTTGGTTTAACCTGATTATCATCTTTGGGTCTGCCCAACTTGTCTCATTTGGGGGCTAGGTCCTGGCTGGTGAGGCTTCTGCCATCCTGGTCACCGGAGCACACTCAGCTCCTAGCTCCCAGTTCAAGATTCCTTGGGAAGCAGCCAGCCTTTGCTGCTCCCTGACACCAAAAATGGCTAGTGGAAGACTTACCCAGAGTCTGGCCAGCAAGCACGCGCCCATTCTCGCCCAGCACAGCGGCACGCGCGTGCCTCTCGTTGGAGTACTGCACGAAGGCGTAGCCCTTGTGAACGGAGCAGCCCACCACTCGGCCGTACTTGGAGAAAATGGTCTCCACATCTGACTTCTTGACCACGGCTGTGTTGAGGTTGCCAATGAAGACTCTGGAGTTGATGGACTTGGGATCGTTCTTGTTCGTGATGTTACTTGTCTGCACCTTCAATGACATCTTGAACACCTGAAAAAGGCGAGAGAGTCAGGAAATGGCATAAGGGAGTTACTAGAATCTTGCAAAAAGGAGTGATGATCATGCCCAACAAGCCTGCAGCACGAGAACCACCTCCTCAGCGTAGTCAGTCACAGCTGGTGGATCCTGTCTCTGGAGACCCTGTACGTGCTGGGGAGGGAACTCTCACCTGGCCAGGGCAAAGCTTGCCAGAAATGTTGCATTTATCAGCTTCTTATGCTCTGCATGTAACCTGGTTGCTCTTAGGGAGCAAAACATGATTTAAATCAATTTTACTTCTAAATAAAGCTTTGATACAATTTAAGGAAAACTTTTTCCAGTCTATAACTAATTACAATTCGAGGACTAATTATTTTTTTAAATCAGCCTGCATGCAGCACTTTCCTCCATGCTCGTCTCTCAGGACATTTCGCCTGGAGCACCTTTCAGCACAGGCCAGCTCTCACTGGCTGCAAGCACCGGCTGCTCCCTGCAGATCTGCCCTCGCAGCTGCAGAGGGTCTGGATATTTTTCTGAATGCAAACGCGATCTGGGTGGCAAGGTGCCCTGTGTGCAGAAGGAGGCTTCCCGAGGTTTGCACCGCTCGCTCCTGCCAGGACTGGGTGTGCTAGCTCCTAGCTGCATTTCCTGCCAACGGGAGATGTCACTGTTAGCCTGGGAATCTCCAGATGCTGTAGTGAGCTGCTACCAGGCACTTTCCAGAGCTGTAAGTACCAACCTTGCTTCATTTTGGAAGATGAGGGATGGGAAGGAACGGAGGTGGTAATTGTGTGAAACTCAATCTACCCTTGCTGTCTATCAGGCTGCTCACTATCGTGGTTGCAGCAAATATTACAGGTGTCCAAAGACACCCATTTCATTTCCCTTCCTCTTTCCAGAAGCACCGGGGATGCTTTGGGATCACGTTATTGTGCACTGCATGGTATTTCCCCAGGAAAAGTCAGCTCTGAGGTGCAGCAGGTATTTTCAGCAGCTCCACCCATCTCAACTGCTGACCAGACTGTGTCTGTGCAGGTCCTTCCCTGACTTGTCCCCACGTCTTGGAGCGCTCTGCTTGCCTCTGGTACCACTCACTGCCTGTGGCCTTGACCACAGGTAATCCTGGACTTGATCCTTTTTCTATCCATCCCACTGTGTCACTGATTTTGCAGGTCAATGATGCTGACGGCTGACCTTACATCTAGAGACTCCAGATAGGGACTAACTCTCTTTGTAGTTTTTGTTTCAGAGTACTGAAACTATAGGCATCTCTAGATGCCTATAGCCAACATGAGGCCATTTCACACGGACTTCCTTGGCCCGGTCACTTCCCCTTTAGGAGATGCATGCCCAGTCTTTTCCTCTTTGATACCTACCAGCATTTATACAAATCTTCAATCATTTCTGCTGTCCATGTTTCAGCCCCACTCACCCCCACCTCACATCCTCTGACAAATTCTCTTTATGTTAGGCTGGGTAGACAATGAGTCCTTAGCACAACCCTTGGATGACCCGATCACAACCAATCAGACAGCTAGTTTTTCATTGCTCCAGGAGGCCACCCATCCAGATGGCGAATTCCTGATTCGGATGCCTGGATACTCTTGGAGAGACTGTGCTAAAAGTCTTCCTGAAGTCAACACAGATGCCAAAGATGTCATCACTTCCTCACAGGAAGCAATCAGGTTGGTCAAACTGTACCATCTCCCAAGCCAGTTGGCTGCACACAGTCAAGAGGAATGTTCTCCTCTCATTGCCTTGGTGCTGGAGCCAGTGTGGGCAGAGCTGGCTCATGTTGCCTCCAAACCTGCAGGGTCCTGGCGATATTTGCCTTTTGAAAGCACCAGCTGGTCGTGCGCGTGAGGCTGTGCGTGAGGTCGTGGAGTGTCTGCATGGCAGGGATAGCTCTGCCTCCCACTGCAGGGCTTGGCCTGGCACCAAGAGCACCAGCCAGGATGTCTCTGTACATCTTTAGGACTTGTTGCTAGCATTTGCCTCACTCTGCCTCCAGTCTGATTTCCCTGCAATACTATCTCCTTAGGTGCCCTGATCTGGACTCCACTGGCAAAGACATGCATTTTGATTTTTGGCTGTGGCACCAAATAAACTAAAATATACGCCAGTCTCTTAGCCTACCCTTCCTCTCCTCTGTAGCCCCCACTGAGTTTTGCTGCTGCTCTCTCAAATGTTGGCTGAGGGAGACCTCAGGCCCCCCAACCTCTGGCAGGATGAGAATGGTGACATCTGCCAACGTTCCCATCTCTGAGCAGCTGCTTACATCTGCAAATACCAACTGCATCAGCTGCTGAGCGCCTTAACTCTGAGCAGGAGGGATGAGAGTTAAGAGGATTTAGCAGGAAGAGAGTGTGGGGTGGAAATCAGTGTGTTTCCCCCACAATTCGGTGGGCTGGCCCCTCTCGACAGGTACAGCGCGACTCAGCTCTGCTCAGTGTCAATGGGCCTGGCCCAGGCTGCACATTTGCTTTAAGGATAAAAGAAATGTTTGAAGGCTAAGAAATGCTTCACCTTGGGAGCAGAGGACATAATGGACATTCAGACCACCCTGGTGCTCTTTCACCAGGCATCCTGTGCTCATTTTGCATCAGGTGCTTTGGTCTCTCAAGGCCTTCTATGAAGACGAGCCATGAGGTCCCTCTTGTACAGTTCAGAAACTGGCAGCAGGGGTGGGAATCCCATGAGAACTACTCTGGCTGGGTAGCTCAGGAGCTACCTGGGTAGCTCAGGAGCCCTGGGAGCTTTCTGAGCATGGGGAGCTCCAAAAAGGAGGCCACTGTCACCCAACCCTGACTGTGCACCCATATGGTTGCCTCCAGGTCCTGCCAGATGATGTCCATGCTACTGGGAAAGGCTTGGGAGGAGGCCAACAGGGCCTCGCTGTCTGTGTGCCCAAGGTGCTTGCCAAGTGCCATCTGCCCATGGGCTCCTGCCCAGGCAGAGGAGGAGCCGCAGGCTGAGGATGCTCCCGGGAATGGGGCTTTGGCAGCAGGTGCTCCCGGATTGGTGAGAGTCGGGGGGCCAGCAGGGACCTCCCCCATGGGATGAAGTGGCCCACATGGGTGTATGAAACACGTGGCATAGGGTACTTGGAAAGTGGGTGCCAAGCACTCATCAGCACTCCCCATGCAACCCGCTGCTCCCCAGAGCCAGAAGACGCTTTGCCTTTTCAGTACAAGCTGCCAGCATTTCTCCCTATCCCCATCACTTACATCACATCACTTAGCGGACCCTTTACTGTAATAACTGAAAGAAGGGACATTTTAATCATCACATATTAATATTTCATACTTCATCTAATTGCATTCCAGCAGAGCACTTCACACGGGACACAGATTAAATCCTGCGCGGTATTAACCGTGGCAGCTTATTGTTCCTTGCTGGTGAAAAAATACATCTCTCCAGTGCATTCTTACGAAGCACAGCATCCTCTTGAGCCACTCTCCCCTTTAATAAACCATGTAAAAACCAGTGGGAGTCCTGGTTTGAGTTGGAGCAGGAAATTTTGGCGATACGTCTGATTAGAGAAACATATACAGCCAAGACGCATACCCCTGGTTATACATTAGCAGTCTAATAACTATGACTGTCCTTATCAGATCCATTTTCACAGCTATTAATTTATCTTTCAACACCCAGTCCAGGACTGCAGCAAGCCAGGCCTGTTGAAAAAGGGAAAAAGAAAGACAAAATGCAAGTAGTGCTAAGACTTGCCATCGGGATGTAAAGAGATGAACATACGAAAGGAGACCTTAATCTGTCGACCTCAAAGAGCAAATAAGAGAGATCAGTATGATCAGCCCAGCTTTCAGGAATGGAAATGGAGGAGAGGAGGTGTCCACCTGCGGCCAAAGCCGTGGCCCAGACCACTACTAAACTGGAAGCCCCTTTCCACCCATCTGGCACCAGGTACCTTCTGGTGACAAAGGAGCCCAAAATCAGTCACCCCAAATAATCCCCAAAACATGGTGAGATTTTTGGACGTTAACACATTTTTCCCACAGAATCACACAGAATGGTTGAGGTTGGAAGGGACCTCTAGAGATCATCTAGTCCATGTCCCTTGCTCAAGCAGCAACACCTGGTGTATGTGGCACAAGGGAGCATCCAGGTAGGTTTTGAAGATCTCCAAAGAAGGAGACCTCACAACCTCTCTGGGCTGCCTGTTCCACTGCTCTGTCACACTAACAATAAACAAGTTCTTCCTCAGATGGAGATGGAACTTCCTACATTTTCATTTATACCCATTAATCCTTGTCCTGTCACTGGCCACCACTGAGAAGAGTTCGGCCCTATCCTCTTTACATCCTCAGGCACAAGTATTTGTACCTGTTGATAAGATCCCTCCTCACTCTTCTCTAGGCAAAACAGGCCCAGTTCACTTAATCTTTCCTCCTAAGATACATGTTCCAGTCCCTTAATCACCTTTGTGGTTCCATGCTGAACCCTCTCTAGGAGTTCAATGTTCCTCTTGTCCTGGAGAGTCCAGAATATCTATGCACACAATAGTCCAGGGGTGGCCTTACCAGAGCTGAGTAGAGGGCCACGATCAGCTCCCTGAACCTGCTGGCAACATTCCTCCTAATGCAGACCAGCATCCTTTCGGTCTTCTTGGCCACAAGGGCACATGGCTGTCTCATGCTTAACCTGTTGTCATGCACACCTCTCAAATCCCTCTCCACACATCTGTCTTCCAAAAGCCCCACCCCTAATCTGTACTGGTACCTCAAGGTTATTCTTTCCCAAGTGCAGGACCCTGCATTTGCCTGTGTTGAGCCTCATGAGGTCTCTGCCCAATTTTTCAACCTGTCTAGGTCCCTTTTTTCTTCCTTCCTTGCTTCCTTTCATTTCCTTGCATGTCCTTCCTTACCTTTCCTACTTCCTTCCCACCTTCCTTCCTTCTCTTTCCTTTCTTTCCTTTCTTTCTCTCTTTCTCTCCCTCCCTCCAGTCCCTCCTTCCTTCCCTTCTTTCTTGCTTACTTCCTTTCCTCCCTGCT